AAAATTAAAAATAAAAATTACTAATTTATTGGGTATGAAATTTTAAAACAAATATTCAAAACTCTAAATTTAATTAATTTATATAATCATTTAATTTTATTTTAGAGTTTCTAAATTTTTTAAAACCAAAATTACAACCATACTAAACCATGCAAGTCTTAGTTTTCAAGATATTTGTCCACTAATAATATAATAACAAAAATATATTTTTTAGTCTAGACTGCACTTTACAAATACAAATTTACCCAAATATCTTGTAATAACTCATTAACTGTGTTTTGGTGATTTTAGTATCCAAAATTGCACTTTCAGCGCCCTCAATTTGGACCCAAAAACACAAAACTCATACAATAAAGTTTTTGTCATATGTATACACACAAGGTTTTTAAGCGCACCAAGAAATGAACGATCCTGGGCATGTGCACTACCTTCAACGCCGTGGTCAGCCATCAATAACTCCCCCAACATCCGCCATATCTCCTATAGATGTCCCCCTTGGCCTTGTAACACCATCACCACACCATTAAAAGAATTTCAACAAAAACAATATATATATATATATCCACACCTAGTTCGAGATTGGGTCCACACATTCCAGTACCCTGCTGGCCATTATTAAAAGAGTAATGTCCTGTAATATAGTCGATAGTTGGCCATTAACACCATAATCTATTTCATCTAAACCGACTTCTCGAGCTGGTGTATGATCACCTGCATTTTTGGCTGAGGCCACGTACGTCTTTGCCAAATATATATGCATTGTGTAATCAAAGGGTCCTATACTCGATAAGAGGGGACCAGACACATATATATATTTGGTTAGAAGCCAATTCCTTTGCTCACTTTTTTCTTTAGTTCACTCTTGTCACTGTTAGGGTTGTGTGTGTTAAATTAATCAATTTTTGTTTTTTTTTTTTTTTTTTTACTTAGATTAGAAGCCATTTTTTTTTTTTACTTGGTTAGAAGCCAATGCCTTGCATTAGTCAAATGCACTCTCATTGTCAGGCATATAAGTGAAATGCATGCTTTCTAGTTCAGTGAGCCCTTTTGTCCTCCTTTCATTTGTCTTTGTTTTTTTCTTTCCTGTTCTCTACTTCCCTTATTCACATTCTTTTTTTTTTTGTGTTTCCACTCATTTTCCTTCTAATTGTCTTTATTGACACAGTCTTAGTGTTCGCATTGATTAGGTATCCACTCTTACCCAAAAGAGATTAGTATTTTAAAATGAGTTCACGTTCATTTATAAATCTCTCTTCAGTCTCCACTATTTACAATTTTTAACTTAAAACTTTCGATAGAGACGCTCAAGCTCTTAATTATGAATCTAATTAAGGACATGATATTGGTTGCTTAAACTTGAAACTTTAGACAAAGATACTCAAGCCCTTGATCACCGGTGTAATTAAGGACACACGACACTGGTTGCTAATGGGAACTTTGAAGGTTGAACCTACCAAGAACATTCGAGAGTTTGGGTAACGGCCTTGGGCCATATGTGGCCACTGGCTTCGAGCCTAGCGCTAGGGGCACACCTTAGAACTGAGAAGAATAAATGTAGCCCATTATTGAAACCAACATATACATCCCAAACGTCCAATTGCCCGAACATCACAGGCTTGATGGGCCAAAGAGCCCACTAATGAGGCTCATTTATTATTGGGCTAAAGTACAGTAGCATTCACAACAAACAATAACAAGAAAAAATAAAAATATTATAACGGGTTAAAAATTTGAGATTACACGTTAGAGTTCTTGAGGTTGAATTTCAAGTCAAGGAAGAGAAATTAAGAGAAAAGATTATTTTTTATTTTATAATATATCATTAAATATATATATTTTTATATTAATTTTTTGATATTTAAAAGTTACATTAAACTCAATTAATTTGAAATCAAAGTACATCAAATCGATATCAAACCCCACACCTATAAGGGCAAAGATTTTTTAACATTTATCTCTTCATTTATAAAACTCAAATTTAAAAACTTAATTTAGAAAACTAAATTCTTTTTCCTTGAATAAACATGTTGTTAGTTATATATCTATAAAAGTTAATATTTATTCGTTTTATTTTTAAAAAATTAAAAGAAAAATGATAAAAAAATTTTAATTCATATTTTAAAAATAAAATATTTTAAATTTTTTAATAAATATTTATTAAAATAATATAATTTTAAAATAATATACACTTAATTTTTAAGAAGGAAAGGGGATAAGCAGCATTATCGTTTGTGTATATAAATATAAACCAAGAAAAACGGTTCTAAAATTGGCTCGCACGAACCCCACAATTGTTGAAGAATCAGGTAAATTCCAAAGTCCAAGCCCAAAGCAATGAACCTTCTAGAGCTATAAAGACGCCACATCCACGAATGGCGTCCACTGTGTGCTGTAAAGTGCCGTCGCTCATCTCATCCTCAGCCATACGACGCCGGCTACCCCTGGTCGGCGCCTTCTGCGTTCTCAGCTTGGGCTTCACCAACCTCTGCCCCATCCTCTCTTCCGCTTCCCTCAAAACGGGTTGTGTTCAGTCTCTCCCCTTTGTCCGTTATCTGAGGTACCCAAATGCTTAATTTCCATTGCTAACTGATTCTGAGGTTTACCCCATCATTGAGAATTTCGTTTTTCCTTGTTTCAGATCGAAGTTCAGTACGCAGTCCCAGACCGTGTACGCTGTGGCAATGGAACGGAGTAGCAACACTGTGCCAAGTATTGTTGTTTATGTTACTGTTCCCAACAGAGAAGCAGGTTCGGTTCTTTTACCCATTTTCTAGTGGTAATCGAAATTGTGGTTACCAAGTGGATTGAGTTTTAGAATTTGATTGCCCTGAATTTCTGCTATCAAATCGAATCCGGGTTGGATGAATTAGAAATTTAGTGCATTCCCATTCCGATTCAGTGTCTTTGAGAGCTCGTGTGAAAAATTCAGCAGTTTATTTTATGTTGCAATTCATGTTGTGATGCTTATTTTTGATTCATTTTTAATCTTTGCAATGTAAATCATCTGTGCAGGTAAAAAGTTGGCTGAAAGCATTGTCAAGGCGAAACTAGCTGCATGTGTAAACATAGTGCCTGGTAAGTGCACAGCATAGCTATTTTACTTGCGCAAGTGTTAGCTTGCAATCTTTTAGCTATGGAAAGGGTGGTTATTGTATTTAAGTCATATATCTGATGAGGATTTAGATGGTTAGATTGCAAATGTAGTTTTGCATTGTTTGAAAGAGAAGAAATCATTAGTAGGTGGTTTTTAGTTGACACTGGTGACTGGTCAGTGTGTTGTCTGAAGTAGTAAACTTTCAGGGTGCTACCACAGATGATATGATCTTTATATAAATTTGTTACACGACACGAGTAAGGTTCTCAGCTAACACCCCTTCCAACCGTTGGCTAGAATTCTCAATTTAGCCTTAAGTGGGTGGAGATGATATAATCTCTGATTTCTGCTGGTCCTCTAGTTAATTACACATGGCTTTTATGTTATAAGAAAGAATTACTGGGGCTTCTAATTGCCCATGGAAAGATTTGAAGATTTTTTTTCCCCCTTATTAGCTTGCTTTTGTTTGTTTTTACCTATGATTTATCCTCTTATGTAAATCTCTCTCCCATGTTAGTGCTCTTTTTTGTATTTCTGAGGCAAGCTGCTTCTTTTCTCATTTGTGTTCCAATGTATAACCAGTATCAAATCTTTATTTCCTTGAATCAGTTATTTATCATGGACTTATTTCTTATTTAAATGCAGGTCTTGAATCTGTATACGAGTGGGAGGGTAAGGTAGGAACCAATTTTTTTAATAAATTTTTGGGACTCATCCACATGTCAATTTATTTTGTTCCAATAAATTGATTATGTACATCTGTGGAAAGCCAGAACACCTTAGAAGGAGGTTATTTGTCACCGTGTTTATCCAAGGTTATGTCTGTATTGGTTACAGATTCATACAGATCCTGAGGAGCTGCTTATAATCAAGACCAGGGAATCCCTCTTGGAAGCTCTGACACAGCATGTCAAGGCAAATCACGAATATGAGTAAGCCTAAAGCCTTTTCCATAATCCTTCTCAATAAAAATATTAGACAAATTTGAGGCTGTCTGTAGATATAAAATTGGTAAGGAAAAAAGGGTAAGATAGAGAAAAGAATATTTGTATGCCTTTCATTATTTTCTTAGAGTGTTCTTGGCTGTTTGCACGAAAACTTCTTTCAAGCTAAGAATCTAAGATAGAGTTCTACCTTCAGCTTCAAGTAAAGATTACTCACCTTAATTTGCCTTCTTTTCTCAGTGTACCAGAAGTAATTGCCTTGCCCATCACTGGCGGGAGTCCTCAATATCTAGAATGGCTCAAAAAGAACACAAGGGACTGACTCTCTCGTATGTAGTAAGATGGCTCAAGCGTATGAAACGGTCCAAGGGTCAGCTCAAGTGGTGTGCATCTGAAGTAATGGTTATGTATATGGATGGCTCCTTCCAACTTAATAAAGCTAGGATACTTTGTCTCTATTTGATAATGTGAACCAAAATCTGCTTTGTTCTGTTGAAGTGCTTGCCGTCTTTGGTTTGTACGTAACATAAGTATCAATTGACCATCTATTACTTCGTATGTTCAATCGTTGTTTAAATCATTGTTTATATCTATGAAGCTTATTGTTTTCTTCCGTCCATCGGTGTCTGATGAATATGGTTTTGGTTTGAATACAATTTTTTTTTTTTTTCTTTTTATAAGATTAAAGGGTTAGTTGCTTCATAGGATACACGTTTGAACTTTTGTGTTTATCAATTTGAACACTTGGTTTTGACTTCAAATTAATAATTTTGAATTAGTAGATATTAATTTGATTAAATTCTTGTTGGTTGGATGTAAATTTCTAAATCAAATAAACACCTCAATTGTTTTTGTCCACCGGTGAGGATTCCAACAGATTATTTTATTGAGTGCAAATAATGCTAGCTTCCTAATCTCAATAATTCAATTCTTAAGCTTCCTAATCTCAATAATTCAATTCTTAGTCAACCTTTATTGTGACTCTAAATGGTAAGGTCTGCAAACTATATCTCCGCAAAAATGTCTAAATATTAAAATATAGAATATAAGGATAATGCTCTGTTTTTACATAAATATATATATATAGGATTAATGTTTATTTATCTTATTTTTTAAAGTTTATGAAAAAAATTATTTTAAAATTACATAGTTTTAATAAAACACCATAAAAAAAGATTAAAAATATTTTAATTCATATTTTAAAAATAATGTATTTAGTTAATGATTTGAGTAATTCAGTGGTATCTTCTTCTGTTGGAAGTAAAAGATCTTGAATTCGAGTCATATGACATGCGGATAAAATGAGATAAGGGTTGAGAGATAATTACCTCTAATTGTGCAACCAAGATAAAAAAAAAACATATTTGAGTTTTTTTCAATGAAAGTTTATTGAAGAAAACGTAAGATAATTTTATTCATAATATTAATTAAATAAAGTAAATAAACACTATTATATATATATATATATATATAATTTTATTCATAATATTAATTAAATAAAGTAAATAAACACTATTATATATATATATACGAATTGATCCAGGCTCCTGCTGGGATGCGTAATCTCAATCCTTCAAATATAGTAATCTTTCTTTTCTTCATACACACTATATCCCTGAAATGGATTTTTTAGTCCCATCTTCCAATTTCCCACGTAGGATTGACATGGATCTGGTTCGTGAAGCAGCAGGTTGCATTGGCAAATTGCACTATTGCAACACAGATTCTCCAAAAGTCAGATTGCAGGTTCTAGACTGTGTTTGGATTTATTTTATTGCCCCTACGTCAATCAGACATCTATGTTTTTTTTTATCTGCAGCCGGAAAGCTCGCAGCAGGTTATAAATATAAAAATTTTCAAAGGGCATGAAGTCTTTTTGTTCTTGTTATTTTCTGCGTTTGGGCGTCTTATTTTTCAATTGTTCACAAGATGAAAACCACCATCCTTTCATTTATTTTTCCTCTTCAAATCAGATTACAGGATGGAAAGAAAACAGGTGAATCATTTACCTTCTCATCCTTTTCAGCATTGACATTTTTTTTGTTTACCGGCAAAACCCCATTAGATCATCCTTCAACTTTTTGAGTGTGTGAGACTTTACTTCTCTATCTTATTACATGTGATTTTATACCCTTTTAATATTCAAATGTGTAAAACTTTATCTCTCAACTTACAATTTAAAAAGGTATAATATCATAAACTCAAATATCATGAGGATATAAAATCATAAACTCAAATATCAAAAGGTTATAAAATCATGGGTTAAAGCCAACTGTAGTCCTCGTACTTTGTGAAATTGTTCGTTACCATCCCTCTACTAAGGAAATGTTCGATGTCATCCCTCTACTTTCCTTACAATATAAATGTCATCCCTCTACTGCACATTTTTTGTTCAATGTCATCCCTAATGGGATATCATCCACACTTCCGTTAATTTTGACCCGTTAATTACTAACGGTCAAATATCCAACTTATTGTTTATTAATTTTTTTAGACAAGTGGGATCATTTTTTTTTTTAACTCTTTCTTTTATTTCCCTTTCTTTCTTCCTCACGGTCATTTTCCCTGAACCACAGAACGACGCCCCTGCCCTGCCCTTCTTCACCAGTTCACCAGCACACCAGTTCACCCATCCAGTTGTTCCTCTTCTTCACTCTTCTTCACCAACCTTCGGTCTTTTTTTCTTTCTTCGCCATCTTCACCATCTTCACCAGAAAACCTATGCCTAAAATTGCCCAAAATCGCCCAAATTTGCTGAACCCAAAATCGCCTGAAATTGTTGAAAATCATCTTGATTTTCTTCACCCAAATCACGCACCATCTTCACCAGTTCACCCAATCGGTTACTCCTCGTCTCCACCCTTCCTCTCTATATGTTCTGGCTTTCTTTCTTTCTTCGCCATTTTCACCGAAACCCACAAAATCCTACACCCAAAATCGCCCAAAATTGCCCAAAAATGCCGAACCCAAAATTGCCCAAAGTTGCCAAAAATCATCTTGCTTTTTCTTCCCCCCAATCATGGAATCACCCAAACCGAGAATGTGTTGGAGCAATTGCTGTTAACTGTGGAATTTGTCATTTATTTTGTTTTGATTTTGGGTTGTGATAGTTACTGTTAATCATGAATCTTCTTGTTGATTTTGTATTGAATTTGGGTTGGTGAGATCTATTATTAATTGTTGTTGATTTTGGGTTGTGCTGTGGTATTATGGTTGATTTGGATTTTGAGACATATAGTTTTTGTTTTATATTGCTGTAGAAGGATGATGAGGCTTGAGCTGAATTTTGGATTACATGTTACTGGATAAGGAGCAAACACTGATGAATGAGCTCCTGTAATTGAATTTGGACGAGCTCTTGTAATTGAAAAGAGAGAATTCGAACCTGCTCCTGTAATTGAAAAGAGAGAATTTAGACCTGCATGGAGAGATTAACCATTTGAAGAATTTGAACTCTGAAATGGGAAAAAAACTCAGAGATCAAGAGATGGTTGCTTCAATTTGGTTGAATTTGAAGATTTGTTTTCTGCAATATTGCTTATTTGGCAATTAAGTTGTATTAGATAGTTTTTTGCATTTGTAGAGGGTCTTTTTATCTGCTTCTGTAATGTACCCCTTATGCCAAACCAAGGCAATCTCCTATGTACTGCAAATGTGAAATGGAATATATGACTCTTTTTTGGTCATGTTAATTGCCAAATTATGTCTATCTTTTGAGCATTTTCAGCTATATAAATGCAAGATTTGCTTGTACAGGACAAAATAGAAAAATAGAACTTAACCAAAAAAAACAAAAGTGCAGCAGATTGGTCTCTGTAAACTTTGCTCTATTGCTTGCTTATACAGGACATGACTTAAAAAAAATAGAGCAACAAAAACAAAAACAGGGCAACACATTATAGAAATTTACATGCTCTAATTGACCCTATCATAAACCATTAATCACAGAATATAAACCATTAAATAGATAGCATTAACACTACTAAAACTCCACAATAGATAGTTTTTTGGCTGCATTTTTTTTGCGCCAATTCCTCTGTTTTATTTTTCCGCGCCATATTTTCTATAAACTAGAAAGAAGAAACAAAAATACAGAACCAAAAGAAAAAAAAAAATGGTCCCACTTGTCTAAAATCTTTGGCCGTTAGTAATTAACGGTTAAAATTAACGGAAGTATGGATGGCATCCCATTAGGGATGACATTGAACAAAAAATGTGTAGTAAAGGGATGACATTTATACTGCAAGGAAAGTAGAGGGACGACATTGAACATTTCCTTAGTAGAGGGATGGTAACGAACAATTTCACAAAGTACGAGGACTACAGTTGGCTTTAACCCTAAAATCATATATTATAACTTTAAAATAGTATAACATCATAAACTCAAATATTAAAAAAATATAAAATTATATATTATAAGCTGAAAGGTAAAATTCCATGTACTCGAAAAAGTTGAAAGGCAAT